TTTAGTGTGACCAATTGCAAAACCTCTAACAAACACCCTTTATATATATGTAACTACAGTTTTTTTTTTACTAAATAGATGGAGTAGTTATCACATTTGACTCATTCAACTTTCTAAAATTAAGTTTTCACAAGCGTACGTGTCGATCTTATATTTACATTTACAGTTAATGTAAAAACAAAAACAGTATACTAAATCTGGCTCAGTTGATACCACGCGTTAAAACAGATAAATACATGATATCATTGTAAAGTACTCAATGCAATTGGATGATCCTTTCAAAACAAGTGGTATTTTTTGTTGAGATTGAAATAAGCAGGTGTAACGTGGAAGCTAACAAAGCAAATCTCGAAAGACCATAAGTAAGAAGATAAACAAGAAATACATCAAAAGACACAAAGATTTAACGTGGTTCAATCAATTAACTTACGTTCACAAAGGAGATGAGCAATTCACTATAAATATGAGAGTATAAAATATAGAGAGAAACAACCTCAACCAATTCACTCGGAATACAAGGAGGAACACAAAATTCTCCCCCATAACCGCAACTCTCAAAACCCTAGGACTAAATGCTAATTAAGTTAGAAGGAACAAACCTATATTTATAGAATCCTAAAACCTTTCATATAAAAAAAATATATTATTAATATTTTTTATTTTACTTTTATTTTTAAAGAGAAAAGACTCAAAAATGTTTTTAATTTTTCGAAAAAGGTGCATTTATGCATCTATTAAAAGGAAAAAGATTCAAATATGTCATCGATCTTTTAGAAAAGACTCATTGTTTAATTATATGCATCTACTGTTGACATGGTACATCACTATAGCTTGGAGGAGTATATAATACGTGGTGCCAACTAATACTCATTTCGTGTTCATATTACTTGATTCATATTGATCTGACATATTTTTTAAGAAAGTATCAATTTTATTAATTATAATTTGAAAATTTGAATTTGATTATTAATACGTAATTATATATAAAATAATAAGAACAGTATAGGATTAAAATAATAATTTTTAAAATGAATTTGCTAAAATTGAAAAGTAAAAAACAAAAAAAGCAGACCTTTGTACAATTTTTTACTGACCAAAATTAACATGTGTGGTGTTGATTCATTGAAAAGTAAGTACCGGATGCGTAAGTAACAATCACACAAAATACCTCGGAGCATGCAAAAAACATCTGAGCAAATAAAGACCGTGACTAAAGGGTAATTGAAAGTTACCCATCTCCAAAACCGTTTGATATTCGTATTGAAATTCTGATAGATTCATTAAAAGTGTTGATTTATGCAATAACCATTTGATCCTGAGATAAAATTTAATACAATATTATTCCTCATTTAATTACTAATCTAAGGATAAATTATACTCCCTCTGTTCCAATTTATATGACTTGCTTTCCTTTTTAGTCAGTCCCAAAAAGAATGACACATTTCTATTTTAAGTAACAATTTGCCTATAAAATGTCTTTTTTACCCTTAATGAAATGATTTACAACCACACAAATTTCTATCATTCATTTTGGACCACAAGTTTTAAAAGTCTTTCCATTTTTCTTAAAGTTTGTGCCAAATCAAAGTACATCATATAAAATGGGACGGAGGGAGTATGATTTTTGCTTCCAATTATTTTATGTACTCTGTTATTCTAACTTTAATATAGTTCTTAAATGATCAACCAAACAATTGATGCTGTGATGTAAGATAGTGGTGGCATTTCATGCAAGACTAAGCTATAGATCACTTTTGACAGATGCTAGAATCAGATTTTATGTCTTGATATGTTAGACAGTTAAAGCTATAATAATGAGACTATTGCTTTGGAATAGGGCGTGCCTGCAACTTTAGATGTCTTCAGAGCTGAATTGCTGCGGGAAAAACAGCTGGAACTTAATAATTAGTATCAGGATAAGAATGAAACAACAATATCGGGATTAAATAAAATAAATCTATGTGGTCCATTAAATCCTTTTTTCTAATACTTAATAAAAATGAAGGGTGTTTTTATAAACAAACAATTTTCTTAGAAATTATACCATAAATACTATTTTTAATACAACAAATTAAATGACCATTAAGAAATAATATAGGATAATTAATCTAGTATAACTTATCTTCAAATCAAACAATCCCTTAAGAAATTATATTTCGAACAACATTAAGCTCGAATCTAATTTACTTATATTTCTCAAATTTATATACAAAATATTAAACTGATAAAATATTTGCAGAATTTTAAAAAACTTTAGCTTGTCAGTTAAAATTTTTAGTTTTTTTTTTTCATAAGATTTTTAGTAAAAAATTTGTCACTACTCCTGCACGTTTGTTTCTTTATTTTCCAGTTTTTGACTCATTTCTAGTTTTCCTTTTGCCAGGTTCTAATAAAGATTAAAGATTTTTTTTTTTCAAAGAAAGGCCAGAAAGTTACCAGTATGACCAGTGGTAGAGACACCATGTAGTGTCATCCGACATTGCCTCACCAAAAAAAACAAATAGTACTATTAATTTAATTTCATTTATAGACACATACTAAATATGATCTAATCAAATAATAATATTGTAATTCGAAAGAAAAATAACAGTATCTATTCAAATTTCAAATACTATAATAAAAGTGTGTCGAGTAAGTAATATACGATAATCGTCTTTATTATGAATATTTTTATTTCATCATTTTTTACAAAAAGTCAAGCCGATACATATGTCGATGCGAAGATTAAAGGCCCACACAACTAACACCCATTAGCAACAAAAATTTGTGTAATTCACACTATAAGAAAACTGTGAATTACATGAGGATTTTCTGGGGATTAGTATGAAAATCCATAGAAAACTTATTTTTCTGCAAATTTTCATACTAATTCCTAGGAAACTCTCCATGTAATTCACACTTTTCTTGTAGTGGATCATATACTTATTTATATATCTATAACAGATCGTAATTTTATTTTTTGAATCTGAATCTTTTGTCATAAGTATATAAGCTTGAATTGGGTGATGTCCTATTTGTGCTTATGTGTTAATGTTCATTCTTTAAGTGGGAAGGCATTGGAAGTGGCTTAGGACCTCTAGTGTACTAAGTCGAGTTCAAAATCTTCACCGGCTAAGTTTTTCACTTTAGTTTCTGAAAAGATCAATTTTAAACGATCATATTTCTCTGCATATAATGAATTAGGTGACACATAACCTATCAAATTAAATATTTATAAGTCATTTTTTTCTCCAAAATCTGTTGTTATTGCTATCGAGAGCCGATGCAAATTGACTATTATAGCCTTGGCCTGGTTTAATGTTATTGCTATCAAGAACCGATGCAAATTGACTATTATAGCCTTGGCCGGGTTTGATTGAGGGGATAAGCAAAGTTATGATAATGATAGATTAGCGTCTGATTAATTATTAAAATGATGGTGAGATATCTTTTCAACCTAATCTTATTTAATTACCAACTATCTCTTCAACAATCATAATCTAGATAAGTGTGCAAAATTTGATGATGTACAAATTATTGTAGCTTGGTCATTTTCTGCTCTGTCATCTATTCATGTCACATTATTCTACTCTTTTGACTATATGTCCGTTGCATAATTAGTCACAATTGACATGCTCCTATTAGATATAATATTTAATTAAATACCGTCAAATAAAACATTGAAATAGAGAAATTACAAGTGGTAATTTGAATTGTGAGCAAGAAGAACAACGACCTTTTCTCCCTATTTCTTAATTCTAAAATTTCTTCCTTTTCCCCTTCTTTGCTATAGGCATGATTCTAACTTATGTACGCTCCAGCGACTCATCTTCTACAAGTCATCACCATCTCTAAAGAGCAAAATTATTTGGACATGTAATTATTACAATTTTTTAGCATTCGAAAAACTCCAAAAAAAAATCATTTTCATATTTTTCACTAATATCTTATTACGAGTAATTAATTCCAACAACTTCAGGAGAAAAAGAGGCGTTTACCTCTAAATTATTCAAAAAAAAAAAATTAATAAAAAACAACTTCAATTCCTATTTATTTCCAAACATAACTCTCCAACAACAACACTACACCCAGTGAAATTCCAAAAAGTGAGGTCTGAGGAGGTTAAAGTGTACGCAAACCTTATCACTACCTCGTGAAGGTAGATAAACTGTTTTCGAAAGACCCTTGATTCAAGTGTATCAAACCGAAGTAAAAGAAGAAGAAAACACTAGAGTAAGCAGAGTAGTTAGCAAGAAAAGCAGTGTAAAGTCTATAATAGAGAAACAATAACAACAACAAAATAATGTGATAATTGAAAAGCAATAAACAACAAATGTCAAGAACTACAAGGGCACGACTAGTCCTATGGAAGGCACTAAATATTCACAAGGCAAGACGACACTCTACCCCTACTAGCCTTCTACCTAATGCGCAACCTCCATTGTTTCCTATCTAAAGTCGTGTCCTCGATAATATGAAGTTGCACCATATCTTGTCTAATCACATCTCCCCTATATCTTTTCGACATTTCCCTACCTCTCCACATACCCCCTAAAATCCAACCTCTCGCACCTCCTCACTTGGCATCGGTGCACCTCTTCTGCAAATGAACATGATATCCAAATCATCTCATGAGTCTCGTTTCCCTCATCTTGTCCGCCACTCTCACCTTCTCCTGATTAACCTCAATATTCCTAATCTTGTCACTCCTAGTATTTCCACTTATCCTCATCTCCACAACATATATCTTCTGTACATGTGAGCTCTTGACAGACCAACACTCCACACCATACAACAAGAACAGGTTAACCATCACTTTGTAGAACTTGCCTTTAAATTTAGAAGATACCTTCTTATCACACAAGCCTCCATAGGCAAGCCTCCATTTCATTTATGCTATACCAATGCGATGTTTGACATCATTATCGATGTCCCCACTATCCTAAATAATGGACCCGAGGTATTTAATAACAAATGCTCTATTCTTTTTTAATTTCATAATTTTTATGTCCAAACGCGCATCTACGGATACATGTTAAAATTCACATTATGAGAGCAAGTCCATCTGCATTATAAAAGTACACTTTATTGTTGTTACTTATTAGACTCTCTCTTTCCAGAAGGCAATTGCAGAGACAACAATCACTGCAAAATACAAAGAGCAACAAAGACAGAGATAGAGAAAGAAAAGTAAAAAAAAAAAACGACAGCCTTACAAACAACATATATACACACAAACAAAGAGAAAGCGAAAAAAACATTGTTCATATGTTGAAGTGAAAACGATAGCTGATGAGAGGCTTTGCAACCTTTTCCGACCTGCAATTCTATGAGGTAAATAAAATTCAACTTCTTTTTTAAAAAAAAAATTAAAGAAATTGAAAAAAATAAAAAAGTCTTTACTTTGATTATTCTCTCTTTTTTTTTTTTTTTTATACTTTCCTTGTTCCCAATTATAGTTGTATCCATGATCTCTTTGTTCTATGTTTATTTATTTATTTTTACTATTTTATGCTCGATCTATAGTAGACTCAGAAGCCAATTGCAAGAAAAGAAGGAGGTGGGTTAATTTATCGTGATGGTTGAAGAAATTCAAAAGAAAATGATCAGATGAGATGGTGATACGCTTCAATTTTTGAACCGTTTCTTAGAATAGTCCAATGTCTCAAGACTATCATCACCAAGGTCTTGCTAGTTTCTCGAATGAATTTGAGAGACCTCAAGACCAACAACAACATATCGGTCTCCAGATCCAACGAGAAAAATTAAGAGTAGAACAAGGGTTTGAGCCACAAGGAGGAGAATCAAGTGGAATCCAAGTTTATGAGACAGCCGGGTTGTTGTCTGAAATGTTCAATTTTCAGACAACATCCACGGCTGCAACTGAGTTGTTACAGAATCAATTGTCAAATAACTATAGACATCCGAATCAACAGCCACATCATCAACCTCCGACCAGGGAGTGGTTTGGTAACAGACAAGAGATCGTAGTTGGTGGAAGTTTGCAGGTACCATTTGGGGATACAAAAGATGATGTGAATGCGAAGGTATTATTGAGTAACCGTGATAGTGTAACTGCTTATTATCAGCGTCAACACAATCAAGTACCAAGTATAAATACCGCGGAGTCCATGCAACTTTTTCTTATGAATCCACAACCAAGTTCACCATCACAATCTACTCCTTCAACTCTTCATCAAGGATTTTCTAGCCCGGTTGGAGGGCATTTTAGTCAATTCATGTGTGGAGGAGCAAGTACTTCTTCAAATCCAATTGGAGGAGTAAATGTGATTGATCAAGGGCATGAAGGTCTTTCATTGTCCTTGTCATCCACTTTACAACATTTGGAAGCATCCAAAGTGGAAGATTTGAGGATGAGTAGTGGAGGAGAAATGTTGTTTTTCAATCAAGAAAGTCAAAATCATCATAATATTGGTTTTGGGTCATCACTAGGACTAGTCAATGTGTTGAGGAATTCAAAGTATGTCAAAGCAACACAAGAGTTGTTGGAAGAGTTTTGTTGTGTTGGGAAGGGTCAATTGTTCAAGAAAATCAACAAAGTTTTTAGGAATAACAACACAAGTACATCACCCATTATTAACCCTAGTGGAAGTAATAACAATAATTCATCTTCTTCAAAGGATATTATCCCTCCTAATTTGTCAACTGCAGAGAGACTTGATCATCAAAGAAGGAAGGCCAAACTTTTATCCATGCTTGATGAGGCATGTACAATCTCCCCTCTCTCTCTATTTATTCAGAATTTGAAAATTATGTGTTTGAATTTGAAATTCTATCACAACTTGATTTACTATGTGGTCAGAATTTATTTTTTATGTTTGTTTAGTGAATTTCTTACAAATATACGAGTTAAATTACTGAGTTCAAGTGAAGTCAAAGAGGTACATTCGCGATCCGGGGGTCAATGACCAATCATTGTTGTTTATTTGGTACTATACTATATATGTTGATTATAAATTAAAACCACAAGAAAGGGAAGGAATAGAAAATTCTAGGAGTTGGAGGAATCTTTTATAGAGGAGAATATATAAAGCCGGCTAGAAAGAAATTAAATAGATTTTGTAATATATAGATTGAGTTTGATTTCTTTTTGATTTTGGGTGTTAAGCATAACATAAGATTTTGTTTTGGTGATAAAATTAGCTCTCACTCTACCATCAAGCTATATCTTTCTTCTGCTAAAATATGTTAGCACTCCAGAAGTAGATATTATCTTTAAGCGGCGTTTGATAGGAGGTATTAGAGAAAATAACATTGATATGTCTTGATATTGTTTAATTTCTTGTTTGGTAGTATTAGTTGTACGCCTTTTCAGTAATATTCTTACACATAGTAAATCATGACATTAGTTATAGTATATGGTGTATTATTTCTATTCTAATACATCATATTCACTATGATTTTATTCTAATACATCCTATTTATCAATCAGAGTTGTGCTAGACTGATAAGTACTTCTTCATCTTTTACCAAAGGTCTCATGTTTGAATTCCCCTGGATAAGGAATCGCCTTTGTTAGGAAACGTTTTACCCCCAATATGTAACTTTCGCTGACACGAATTCAAATTTAGTCAAACTTCAGACATCCCAATCAAACTACCTTTAAATGTACACTTTTATTTATTTGACCATCATATTTCAATACAGACAAAATAAGTGATGTTTGTAAATCTTCCTTCTTTTTTTTTTAATACATTATAGTGTTATTATTGCTGTATTGAAAAAATGGTAAGCGAAGGCACATGCAACAAAACACACAGGATATTCTTTCTTCACAACAACAATCATTTTTCAATGTACTATTTGTTCACATATACTATCGATCAGCTTTCTTGCTACCTTTTTATTAGAATATAAATTCATGTATCTTTCTTCCTTTCTTTTGTTACTATTTTAATCAGTATTTGATTTACAATGAAGATATTCTTGTTTGCTTGAGTAGAAGGTAAAGCCACAATTTTAGTACTAGTAGTTTTCTTGTTGAGGAAATTTAACTTCCCAGCTGCACCTTATATGTTTTTCAACTAATTGAACTACTTTTTCATTAACTCGCTGACGAACACTTTTGATTCTTGTAATCTTAAATTAACTAAGAATACGTATATTATATTGGAATATTCTTTAAACTTGTGGTCTTAAACATGTCATATTGTAAGAGTTAAAATTAACGAGTAATTTCTAAATTAGGATATATGCATTCTTTTTTAAACAGATTAAAACAGAAAAATCAAGATCGAATAATAAGTTATTTAGCACTTCATTTTCCATGTTATTAGAAAAAAAACTTCTTGTTATTGTAGTTAACCTAATTGTATAAAAATAAGATAGATTGTTACACTTTATAAATATTCTTTCTTTGATTTCTTGGTGTGTTTAATTACTTGTAGGTAGAGAAAAGATACAACCACTATTGTGAACAAATGCAGATGGTAGTAAACTCATTCGATCTAGTGATGGGTTTTGGAGCTGCAGTTCCTTACACAGCACTAGCACAGAAAGCTATGTCTAGGCATTTCAAGTGTTTAAAAGATGGCGTGGCGGCGCAATTGAAGAAGACATGTGAGGCACTAGGTGAAAAAGATGCAAGCAGTAGTTCAGGACTGACTAAAGGAGAAACACCAAGGCTTAAGGTGCTTGAACAAAGCTTGAGGCAACAAAGAGCTTTTCAACAAATGGGAATGATGGAACAAGAAGCTTGGAGGCCACAAAGAGGATTGCCTGAACGATCTGTCAATATTTTAAGAGCTTGGCTTTTCGAACATTTTCTACATCCGTACGTCTTTCTCATCTTTTTCCTTCTAACTTCTATCTATACTCCTTCGTCTCAATTTATGTGAGATATTTCGAAAGTCAAACAAGTTTTTTTTTTGTCATATTTTTTTCTTAATTATGTTTTAAAGATATTTTGAGGGGTTATAGTATTTTTTTACTCACTATGTCTCAACTTATGTAACATTGTTTTGATATTCAGAGTCAAACTAATTAGTTTGGACCTTGAATTCAGGCGGGAAGTCTTTAAGTTATGTTTTTTTTAATTTTTAATTTTTTTTATATATTTAAAAACTACGTAAAAAGTACTAGTATAAGTAACAATTATTGATAATTCAATATTTTTAAAATATATCTGAAAAAATTACGGTAATAAAAATACTTGTTTGAATTATGAAATTAGAAAGGTGTCACATAAATTGAGACGGATGGAGTACGTAAATTTTCATATATATATATATATATTATATTTTAAAATAAATTTAAAGATTCTATATCCGAATTTAAAAAAAATTAACTCTCTAATGTTGTGACGTATAAATTGAGATTAACAAAAATAACAGTGTGTACATCTTTACCCTTTCCTAGGAGGACCTACTTTTGGTGACTCGAACTCACAACTTTAGGGTTGAAAGTGAAATATATTTACCATTCGAACAACTACCTCTTGTCAGGTGAATAGAATATAATTTTATTCACTTGGTTAAAATGTTAAAACCCTATATAAAAAAAATACTATAAGTTAAATAACGTGTACTCGACTTAAATTGTATTTGATATAGTGCATAATAAAATGAAAGAAAAGAAGTAAAATTAAATTATTTTTAAGTATAAAAGATATGAATAAGATTAAAAAGAATAGAATATAACAAAGTAACTTGAAGTTGAGTTGCACTTGTTTGTATAAACTCTAGCTTACATACACTTGTCCCAAGTCCTAGTTCCTTTATAAAATCTAGATATTTGATATTTACCACACAACCGAAAGTTAATGAGGAAAAGTCTTTGATACCATGATTATTGCTAAATGAATTTTTGTGCAATCAACTTTTATTAGTCTAATCTAAAACACATTTCCAATATTGAGTAGTTGGTACATTTTCTTTTTCCCTCTCTTTGCAGTCAATGTTAAAGGCACTGCTGCAATTCATCAGTCCTTTCAACAAAATGCAAAATTACCTCTTACTACTTTTTGTGCACCACTTTTACCTCTAGATGAAATCCAATATACTACCACCTTTCTGACTTATTTAGGCATGCATTTGAAAAGTAGTGCTCCCTCGTTTCATTTTATGTGATAATTTGACTTGATATTAAATTTTTAATTTTTTTTTTTGAAATTTATGTAATTTTAAACAAGTCATAAATATTTATGTGATTATATATAAATCATTTCATTAAGAGTGAATGAATATTTAAAGTTAAACTCTTACTCCCTCCGTTTCTATATAGTTGTCACCATTTTAGGTTTACACTCCTTGAGAAACCAGGTAATTTTACCATTGCTTATTTAATACTCCCTCTGTCCCAATTTATGTGACACTTTTTATTTTTCAAGAGTCAAACAATTTAAGTTTGACCGGAAATTTGCGCATGAAATCTTCAATTTTTTTGAAATGAAATTTATATATTTGTAAACTAGGTAAAAAAATACTATAAGTCACAACAATTGATAATTCAAAATGTTTAAAAGATCTACGAAAAATTTATGGTCAAAGTTAGATTTGTTTGAATCTCGAAATTCAAAAAGTGTCACGTAAAATGGGACGGAGGGAGTACTATTTTTTTTCCTTTTTTGGGTAATGCTAAATGGCCAGAAAATTTGGCAAGAAATTTAAAAAGTCTATAATATCCTTTTTATTTTAAAATAAATTGATCGTTTTTCCATATTTTAATTGAAAGGTATTAAAGTTAAAAGGGTAAAAATGTTTTAAAAAGTAAAATAACATAGTGTGAAATATGTTATTTTTAACATTTTGGCCAAGTTTTGACCAAATTTTCTAGGCAAAAGGATTTTTCCTTTTTGTAAAGTCAAGTTTTCCATAAATGAACATGAATTAATTTATTTTGATTAATGAACATGAATTAATTACTTAGTTGTCAAATTTATATTTTCAAGGTTAATAACTCTCCAAGGTAAAATAAGAAAAAATAATGTTATTTATACATTAATTTTGTGAAATAACAAATATTAAGAAACATCTATTTTTAATAAGAACTACATGTAAATAGGAACGGAGAGAGTACTAAATTAGTGGTCATTAAGGTGATATATGCATGACAACAACTTAACAATGATGATAAAAAGCAAGAGAATCTATCTATGTAATGAAATGAATGTTAAGAAGAAAAAAAAGAAAAGAGAGAGAGGTGGAGTTTGTCTTCTCTCTTTACTTTCTGCTTTAGCCAGCAGCTAACACTGCTCATGAATTTGGTATTTCCTTTTTCGATCCTCACGCCAATATGTTTACATACAACAAAACAAAAGTGTCAATTCTCATCTACGGATAAGGAAAGCATTTCCAGCTTTTTATACAGTTTAAGTAAGGCACTCTAACATACTTTTTCCGTTTTAAAAAAATGACATAATTTGACTTAACACGAAATTTATATATTGAAAAATTGAAATTAAAGTATTGCTAAAAAAGGAAATAGGGTAATTCTTTTTTAAACAAACTTAAAGAAAAATATGTTATTCTTTTTAAAACGGAGGAAATATTTTTCTGCTTTTTTTTTCTAATTTGAAAATTTTGTCTCAGGTATCCAAGTGATGCAGATAAGCATCTTTTGGCACGACAGACTGGTCTCTCCAGAAACCAGGTTTGTCCCCTTACCTTCTATAAATTTCTGTCTTTCACATCTTTTTTTCTTCCTCAAGATATTCATAAGTTGCATGAAAAATTAATAGTTATAACTCAGGGAGTAAATGATATGGTTTGATCGGTTATTTTTAGTGTCTGTTTGGAAAGTCATATTAGTAATTTGATTTGCTGTAATTGAGTGTAATTACAATGTCTGATATATTTGATTGATCATGTAATTACTTGGTCAGTAGGTAATTGAGTATAATTGACAGAGGATAATTACACTCTTACTCTGCAAATTATAGGAGAGGTTGAGTGTAATTGACAGAGGGTAATTACACTCTTACTCTGCAATTTATAAGAGAGGTTGTGAATTACTAGTAATTATATGATGTAATTACAAGTTGATTATTTTTAATATAATTCTTTTATTTCTATATTTTTTTTCTTTACTTTTGTTTTTATTTTATTATTTTAAATTCTTTTTTATTTTTATTATTCTAATGTTTTCTAATTTTTTTTATATTATTTATATTTCTTTTCTTTCCCATTCTCAACTTTACTTCATGTGATTTCATGTAATTTTTTGCATTATCTATTTATTTTTCTTTCATTAGTATAATTTTGTTAGTATTCTAATTTTTAAATTAAAATAGAATTTATTGTTGAATAAGGTTATGAACTTACGTTTCCTTTTCTTTTAAATCATATTTATGATGTTGAAATTTAATATAAGAGTATTATGTTAATTTTTTTGTTTTAAATTTAGAACTCATGTTATATTTTCACTTTCATTTGTTTTAGCAGTATTGACTCGCTATTTTACATTGCAAGCTATTTTTAGGGCATGTTTAGAAAGTCCTTTTAGTAATTAGATTTGGTGTAATTGAGTGTAATTACACTGTCTGACATGTTTGGTTGATCATGTAATTATTTGGTCAATGGGTAGTTGGGTGTAATTGACAAGGTAAATTACCTTCTCCAGTTCACAAGGGAGACTGTGAATTGCTGGTAATTACATGGCTGATATTGTGTAATTACTAAGCCGATAATTACTAGACTAGTAATGTCACCAATTCCAATTACCCAATGACTTTCCAAACAGACCCTTAAGGAATTATATCATATCAATTTCTATGGGACTTTATTGTGCATAACCAAATTTAAATTATTGAAAACTATCTCAATAATCTCCATCTCTATCCAATAATTTTTAATAACTATTTAGAAGCAACATAGTGTTATTAGAAATTTTGAATCATCTACAAACTAAGTAGAAGAAGCACTACTACTACAAAATACTCGTGAGGACAAAGGTTTTTTAGTTTATTTGTTCCTCAACGTAACTATCGTGCCTTTTGAGTCGAGTCTGGCTTGCCTAATTCACGTATAGTAATAAAGTTGTGTTATTATATGCAGGTAGCAAACTGGTTCATAAATGCAAGGGTGAGATTGTGGAAACCCATGGTAGAAGAAATGTATCAAAGAGAGGTTAATGAAGATGATGATGATGACATGCTAGAAAACCAAAACCGTACAAATACACAAACACCAACGCCTAATATTATTATTACAACCAATTCTAACATTACAGAAACAAAATCAGCTGCCACTGCCACAATTGCTTCAGACAAAAAACCCCAAATCAATGTCTCTGAAAATGACCCTTCAATTGTCGCAATGAATACACATTATTCTTCCTCTATGCCAACTCAATTAACCAATTTCTCCACTATTCAAGATGAGTCCGACCACATCTTATATCGCCGCAGTGGAGCGGAATATGGGACCACAAATATGGCTAGTAATTCTGAAATTGGATCCAACATGATAACATTTGGGACCACTACGGCTAGTGATGTTTCACTTACCTTAGGACTGCGCCATGCAGGTAATTTACCTGAGAATACTCATTTTTTTGGTTAATTAAGATAGTTTATTCAAACGCTGCTGCATAAATTATGATTATATATATATTGTCATCTGATTAGTTTACCGGATTTTGATTGCACATACTTTTCTCTCTAGATCATGTTATGTCCTTCAAATTGGATGTATGTATCTCACAATATATATATATATATATATATATACACTAGATAATTTAAGGCCCATGATATGGGCCTAATATAATTTCACATATTTTGTTGGAAAAATTACATAAATTCACAACTTAAGATATTATAATCCTCTCTCGGATACATCCTTATTTCCTCTCGGATAATCTATTCCCTCTCGGATACATACCTATCCCCTCTCGAATACATCCCTCCCCCGAAGTAATATGTCATTTGCAATGTATTGGACAACCAAGGAATGTATTCTAGAGAAATGAAAAATTCAAAATTTTTGTAATTGAGGAAACTTCCCGGATATTATGTAATTAGCCTTCAAAGATATGAGATTTCTATACTTTATACTATTTTTTTCTTTAGTAAACAACTTCAATATATTACTTTATAATCTATTTCAAATGATCATACGACATAAATGTGTCGTTTACAACCTAAATTGAGAAAGTTGAATTCTAAAAAATTATATGCAGCAAGGAAATAGAGAATTGCGTTAGATTATGAGTTAAAAACATTTCGTGTTTGAGGAATATATAAAATGTTGATATCTTTGAAAAATTTCATTGATCATCATATATATTCAAGTGGTATCTATTTTCCACAATGTTATTATCTTCGTTTTGTAATATTTGCATCATAAGCTTTGCATCTGATAATTTGATCAATTAATTCGTAAAGATCGATTTAAAGTCTTTCAAATCTCTATTGCTTCAACTTAAGTATACTGTGTTTGTAATTGGCTTTGTCAATGAATTTTGTGATACATTTTATTATTGTCTTCGATAAATAAAAATACTTATTAAATTGATTTCTAACTTCACAACAATAAAAACAATCAAGAAAGCAATTTTATTTCTATATACAATAACAATTATCGTGATGTTATATTCTAAATATTGAAAGTATTTATTAAAAAAATAATTTGTAACTCAACAAAAATAAAAACAATCATGAAAGAAACTTTATTTCTATATACAATAACAATTATCGTAATGATATATTCGAAATTACATTAATTAATTTTTTTTGATACTACACTCTTAATATCACGCAGTAAAGAAAACCCTAAATTTTACCCCCACAAAATAACCAATATACTTTTTTTTTCAGGTTGTTTTTTCCTAATTCATTTGTTTTTAGTTTTTTTCTTCCTCTATATTTCACAACTAAGTCTTTTTCTATTGACATTTTCTTTTGTTGTTCTTCTTTATTTTTTAACTACTCATTTTTCTTTAATTTGAATTTTAATATTCATTAGAATTTGAATGTTAAACGTTTTCCTTGTCAAATTTTCTCTGTTAAATAGTTTATCATATTTGATATTAAGAAAATATAGAAATGAAAATTTTTAACATTTTTTAATCTTTCGATGAATACATTATCGAATTATTAATTTCTTGATAGTCAAACATTGTTCATTCTTTTAGTCACGAAATTTGATATTTTCTTCAAATTAATTAAAAAATATTGATACGTCATTTTAAAGAATATTTTAATAATCAAGATACAAATTTAATGGTCATATTATGTAACATAATATTAAAAATATTTTTACGCAATAATCCTTTAAAGTATTTCTAAGAACAAAATATTAACTATTCAAACACATTTTATTTTAATTAGTTCAAAATTTTCTTTCTAAAATATGTCAAAACAAGCTTAGTATTATTGTTTGTAATAAGTTAACTAATAGAAACTCTTTATTTTAACAAAATTACAATAATATCCTTATGGGCCCCATAACAAAAGTTAAGACATGTATGGATTCTTCTAGATTTTCATTTTGACCATTATTATACAATTATTATTTTACCCTTAAATAATGTTAAAATTACTAAAATGTCATTGATCGTCCTTCTCATGGCTCTTCTATATAATAGAAATATTTTTGTTGGAAATTTAACGAAAAATATATATAAAAGTAGTCACGAAAATTTGTTGGTGGACCCAATCTGATCAGTAGGATCAGATCATGGGGACACATGGTGTTGTTTGGGCTTTTAAGATTGAACGTATCTTACGCAACCGAAAATTGCATTTAATTTTTGCCTCGTACATGTACAAACAAGATTCTTTAGTTAATTTTTGCTTTTTCCCCTCAAAACAATAAATTGAAATGACAGTTGAATTGGTCTGTTTACTTGGGATAGTTGTACGTTACAATCAATGTTATGTGAGTATGAATTATGATGTTGTTGTTTATCCAAGTTACCTGCCCAGCTATATTGCACATAAAAACAAAATAATCCACCAAAACAAACACGTGATATTGATTTATTTATTTATTTTTCTTCGATAATGGGGAGTAAATATCTTTTTTTTTTGGGGGTTTAATATATCGATATTCTTTTAAATTTATTGTTAAATTTCATTGAGACGATATTCAAATTAAAGTTTGTTTTAATTGAGCACTTGAACATATAATAAAGTGTTCATATTAGACACTTTCAAGTCAATTTTTTTTTAAAAAATAAATAAAATTGCATGTGTTTTCAATCATTTTCTAGGTATTTAAGCTAGTCACGTAAAATATATTATCTTTTAAACCTCAATTAGAATAAGTCTAAGGTTTTACGACTTATTGAGGCACATATTTTAATGATTAACTTGTCTACGTAATGAATACTTGAGAACACATTCAAATATTTTTCAAAATTTGAACTGAAATTGACTAATAAAACCACTTTATCAGTATATGCTTAGAGGCTAACAAATCTTAATTCAAATGCTTAAATGAACTTTGTTACTGATTTAAAGGACTATCAATGTATAAAATCTTATTTTTTTTGTGGTGAGAACTATTTCTTCTATTTCAATTTAGCATATTGAGAGAAAAATATGAGTATTATTTTTCCTATTTTATCCTTAACATTTACTACTTCATTTCTTAAATTATTTTCGAAGTCTTTTTAAAATGATATTAATAAATATATTATGATAAAATATACACTTGCATTTATTATTTCTGAATATAAGTACAAATTCATTGTGAAGGAGTAAAACATGAACAAACAAAATAGTTTAACCTTATTTTAAAATACAATAAAAAAAGTCTTTTATCTTTAAATTTTTAAATTTTGTATTCAATCAAAATAAATAAATTACATGCATGATAAAAATTAAAAAGGAAGGAGTACTAACACTTCCTCTATCCCCTTTTAGTTGTCATGTTACACTTTTTGAAAGTTACATTAATTCGATATTTTAAACAAAAAATTTAAATATTCAAAAATATACGAAAAGTATTGCAATTTTTTGCATGTCAATATAATGAAAAAATACATCGTAAAATGTTAGTTAAATTCTTATTATTTTTTTACTGTAAAAAGAGAAATCAATCACAATTAGAAAAAAGAGGGAACGAGTACTTATTATGGCGTAGAGAGTGGTTGGCTAGTTTGCAAGTTGCATAGTGAATGATTGCGGCCTTAAATATAGCAGTGAAAATATGGAAGGGAAATATCTGCGTTCAATTCCCAATTACCCCCCTTGTAGTAATCATTCTAACTAGAGGAAATATTTGAATGAACCCTAGCTAGTAAACATACAAAAGCAACTATCAAAATAACTACGGAGACCTCTGATTAAGAATATGATAAAAATTATGTTTACCACTCTAGCCTTGTTGATATCAAATAGGATTTTAATATATAAGATTAAAATTATTGAGTTTAATCGAGCTCGTATATAATATTTTCCATCCATCCCGTACCGTAAAAAGGCAATAAATGGCGAATGTTATTAGGTAATCAGATATCTGTTAGAATACAAACATGAGTTTCATGCATGATTGTCATTTCAATAAATTAAAGGACCACCTTTGCTTCAACTAAGTTGGGTGATGTAGTTAATTAAGAGGACCACACACATGCACACAAACCTTATCGCAGCCACCCCTACCTAGGGGTGTACAAAATCGAATCGAAAATCGAACCAAATCGTAAATTGAGTCAACTCAGAAAAAAAACCCAACTAGTGGTTTGGTTTTGAAAAAAAAAAACCCGACTAGTGGTTTGGTTTGACTTGGTTTGGTTTTAACTAAAAAAAACCAATCCGAGACTAAACCAACCCGACATTATATATATAATTTTAAAATTTTATTTTATACATAAAAATATTTACTTTGATATAATTTTTAAATATTTCTTATACTTTTTCATAGTTTTTATCTTTTAATATATTATTTCAAGTTTAAAACTTAGAATTCGGAATGGTCCAATAAA